TATAGAGATTGTGTTAGAAAAGTTTAGCAAGTTTGATTATTCGAGGTGAATACTTACCTGAATGCGGTTCTCAACGCCAGTACTGTACATTCTAGATGCAATGTTGACTGTGTCGCCCCAAATATCGTAGTATAATTTTGTTGTACCAATAACACCAGCAGTAACTGGACCAATATTCAATCCAATTTTACACACAAACTCGAAGTTTAAAAGGTCTTGGTTAAAAAAGCGCAATTTCTGTTGTAAAGCTAACGCGAATTCCATCAGCTGAAATTATAGCAGAGACATTTTACACTGTCACTTAAAAATCCGTCACAAGTCCTTTCTCCAAGCTAACCTGATATAAATGCTCGTGAGGGTCTTGTGCTTCACGCATTTTTTCAGGATCTAATCCAGAAGCTGCCATATAAGCAGAACCGATTGTTTTAATTTTCTCCACTTGTGAGAATTCTGGATGATCCAACAATTCATCAAAATCACCAATAATTTCATTTAACACCCGTAAGAATTCACGTCCACCTAAAATGTGATTCTCTGAGGACTCTCGTTCATGGTTTTTTACACACTAAGCATGAAAGATTCCAAATAAAAGATACCTTCAAAAGTTTCCTCATACATGTCGTACCAGTTAGTTATTGTTGCAAACAAAACTGCTGTCAAAGCGTGATTTTCTGAGTACTTTGTACTGTTGCGTAGTGATTCAATGGCGTTTGGAGGAATTATATTTGTGAGAAGCCAATCAGCTTGGTCCCGAACTGCTTGCATCTGTTCAGTGTCTCGACTTGCTTGGACGTCACCAAAAAAGGATATTCGAAACGCAGCCTCAAACTAAAATTGAGACAATATTTTTTAGATAAAACTGTTGTTGAAAACTACGAAAATTGACAGTACACTTTTATAAATAGATTACTGTAATCCATCTAGTTATTAAACCACCTTATAGTTCAGAAATCCAACCAAAATAACGGTAAGAAAAACATCAATGCATATTTCCCAAGTAAATATTGGCCTATTAAACAATGGATATGCCCACTCAGGGAAATCGTGGGTTTTGTTAACTTTGCAGTACTGATCAATTTCCTCGGAAGATCTGTCTGAAACTTTAAATGGTCATTTTAGTTAATAGTTTATTAACTGACCAATGAAATTATAAGCATAAAAAGATGAATAAAACAAAAGTAATGTTATACCTCGCTGAGCAAGAAAGTCCTGAAAATTAGGCAAGTACAAACATTCCCAGAAAAATGTCATGAATATCAATATGCTACCAAGTATCAATGCCTGTAACGTTTTAGGCCATGCTGCTAGCTGAGAGAAGTTGCTGTGCGCAAATAGTGCCAAAAAGAATATATATGCTAAAATAGAGGTGATTTTCACCATAAGGATTAAGGTACAAAAAATTAAACCAAACTTCCGGAAATGAAAAGAAAAACAGAAATGTAGCTAAAAATACTCACAAAAAAAAATCCTTTGCGCCAAAAATTCCTTTGAAATGCATCGGTGGCCTGGATTTGTTAAATATGAATCACAGACAGGTACAAGTAGCAAGGCAATTCCAGTTGGCAATATAATCAATGTCATTCCTAGAAATAGACGTCTGTAACTGACTTTTTTAGGCTTAAGGGCCGGAACTAAACTATCAGTTTTCAAATTTTTGAAGATCTACCTAACGTATGACGGGTCAACCACTGATGTGCCCAAGGGAACGTGCTATGCCCTTTAAGAATGGGTATGCCGATAAAAACAATTGCAAACAGCGGCACTATTATGGCAAGCGGAACGTAAATATAAAGTAGATAAATAAATCTTGGATATTTGTATCCAACACTGTTTTTCCTGCTCCACAGAAGTGTTATGAGCAAGACAACTAAACAGACGATAACCAGTAAAGCAGCAACTACCATATCAAGAAAAACGCCAGAATAACGATATCGTTGAACCATCCCAGGGTCATTTCTACGTTCTGGCTAAAAATATTTTCGTAAAATTTATGAGCAAGAATAAAGTTTTTTAGTAAGAAGGTTCTTTAAAAACACTAAAAAATTAAATACGCAAGCAAAAGCTACAGAAATAGAATACAAGAAAACCTGTCAAGGCAAAAAAAAAAAAAAAAAAAAAAAAAAAAAAAAAA